TCAACCCCGGAGTTAGACCCATTTAAGCAATTTGACCAGCAACATTGTTAAGTGCCTACGAGCTCTCCATCCTAACCTGTGACTTGGGAACTTGGGATTTACGGATCCTGAGGTCAAATCTAGAGGTCACGTGTGTAGTGGTGTTGAAGGCCATCCCACCCTCCCCCAGACATTGCGTCTAGTTTCTCTACTTCTCATCACAGCTACTGTCGCAGGTTTAAAGTCGTGGAATCATTTGTTTAGATCGGATAATGTTTTCCTTGCATTATTCTTTTGTTGCTACTTCTTACAGCGCTGTAAGCGTTTTGATAAACTTCAAATTAGCTTATACGCGAAGGCAGTAAATGCGTTGAGGTTGTTTCATTAAACAACAATCATTAATATGATCAAGTGATTTCGATGCTAAACCACATGTGGCCTAAGTCAGAACACAAAATAACAGTCAGTACCTGCATCACGACGCGATTGAAACCTGTTGTGAGGTAGGCGGCTACGAATGTTCGGCTTTGATCACGCTCACTCGAGAGATCTACCTGCCTTTCCTGCAAAATGGGCAGCAGCTTTTCTCGCAGAGCCGATGCGAACGTCTTGACAATTGTCTGAAGCGCCACGAGGGTCGTCTCTGTAGCCCGATCAATCACACCACCACTGGATCGAAACGAGGTGACTGCTATTGCGCCGACGTTGTCCTTTAAGTCGAAGATGTGATCTCCAAGCTGGAGCTGCGCGGTGCAGCCAGTGGAACTACTGCGGACGGACTCGGTGAGAGTCCCGGTTAGAACACTTTTGACACCAATCGCGCTGCCATCTAGAGGGACATGAATTTGTAAAGTTGCATTGTAATATTACTTATCGTACGACATTTACCTAGATTTTGTTAGCATTTCCTTAGATCGTCAGCTTTTGTCCAAATTTCACTCATCTTTATTTTATGTTGAGTGCAATTATATCTCTAGTGCGTAAACCTAATTATTATGGAGCATTTTGCAAATTATTATCATCGATTCTTCTCTAATTTACATTTTTCATTCCCTATCTGACTTTGCAGAACCAATTTTCGCTGGTCTTTTCAACAGCTTTTGTGCAGTGGTAGTTGGGCCAAATCTCAAAACCTTAATCCTTTGTCATATTTGAAATATTTAAGACAAACATGAACGCATATCTTGATGCGATTGAACCTTAGATTCCTCAGTACGGATTCGTTAATAACTGTGCACAAAATATATTACTCTTAGCACCTCTCAAAAACACCCTCCCACAATCAGTCGTTTTTAATGGGGTGTTCAGACTTGATCCGAATGGTACCAGATTATACTATTGATGCCTACTTTGCAAATTTAATGTTTTAGATGAGCCTCGTGCTAGACCAGTGAATAGAGTGCATTTTGTTTTTCAGATTTGCAGCTGTGTACATTGTAGTTCTCTGATATTCAACATTGACGGGTTTTCCGGCGACGTCTGTAAACTGGGTTTACATTAAATTTTTTAAAGCTCGAGCCACAACAGCTATCTGTTGTGACACTAATAATGTAGCAGCAGACACTTTGGACCACGCATTACTCTGGGTCCAACGACGCTTATTATTCTAATGAAAATGCGAAGAACTTACATTAACGTAAGAGATTCATTTTCTAGATCTTTCAGGTTAACTTTGTATTAACTTGCCATAAATTACATTCAGTTGTTTGTGTAGCTTAAGGCGCCTGTTTATTAGATTATATGTTCACGTTCAACGTCCACATAAGTGATCCTACGGGTTTAGCAACTATTTCATGTCAATTTGCGTTGCGCGTCATCGCTGGAATGAATTCACATGAATCTTTAAGGCGCGTGTGAATTACGCCTAGGTCAAAACCTCAAGCTCATATATTTCAATTCTCTTTCTCAGTGAAACTCAATAGCCCAAGACTTCGGTATTATTCTTAGATATTTTCCGTATTGATGAACACCGAAAACATAGATGTTTGAGAAATGAGAAGCCACATTTCATACAAAATCGGAGGCTCAAGTGTAATATGACTGGCTTTTCACGATTCACCTTGTAGTGCATTTTAAAATAAGTTCGACTTCATTCAGTTAGGCAGATAAATTCAAATAATTAGGAGGACACTAAATCGGGTTATGAGACCGATGACAGCTCGATTTACAATTCGCTTTAAATTGTGGTTCCCATTAGCAATTCCTATTAAATAAATTAACCATACTCAAGATCAGTCACATGGCAAAAACATTGGCAGCTCCTTTAACGACAACACTACTATGTAATTAATTTAGCAGGAGCTGGATGTGTTCACACGTCAAAACAAGTACCGTCGAGAATGGAGGGCTGATGACAATGCTAGGTGTCCCGGGGAGAAACTACGTTCTAATTGTTATTAGTATTTTAATTGGTTGGAAACCAAAGTGATCACAACTACATTTCATTAATTTGTAACCAGGTCATGGTTCCCTCTAGGCACACTGCATGGCACATTGCATTGTACAGCATTTCATCACACAAAACGTGATCAGTTGAGGCGAAAAAGTTTGTCCAAAAATGCGGTCTCCTCGGAAACGCACCAACAGTTGCATAAAGCTGGCGGCAAGCGACAGTGGCAACAGCCGCATTTCGTGTATGCTGCTAGCGGAAATAAAAAAAACTGATTGCTTTATATTTAAATGATACACAAGAGAGTACTAGCTTTACCTGATTCAGCATTCTGAGATCCTAAATGTTGCTATGCAAAACCTTAAAACACGTAGAATTGGTAGAAGATTATTATCATGGTTACAGACTGAAATAAGCATGCAGAATAATTATAATATTTACATTTGAAATCATTGATAGTAAATTAATTTACTTATGTCTAGACAAGCTTAAATGGTGAAAAACTATTTCAGGCTGTTTGGTTCATCCACTTTGCGATTAGCTCTTTCAAGCAGTGCGATAAAACCATGGACTTGTCCAATGAGCATTCACTCGCCTTTCCACCGAGAAACAAATTTTGCTATTTATAGGAGCAATAAATTTCAACTCAAATTCCTGAATAAAAAGTAATTTGCCCGAATAATCGGTTTTAAGTAGGCCAGGTTAAAGGGACAAGGACATCAAACTAATTTCCATGTAGCACTCACCGTCCATCTTGCTCAGCATCTCTAATAGAAGTGGGCTGAGGCAAATCCAAACAATTTGTCCACAAATTCGTCTCGAGGCGTGTACCGGTCATGCCCGAACAGCCAATCATTTGTCGCGTTAAATGCCTCACCTGCAGGTTGACGGCGTGTAAAGCCTACAGTGTATGTGCAATACATTCAAAATCTGCGCTTTCCATTAAATCGGTTAAATGCCTCTCAGTGTTGTTTTCTAAAGCGCACTCGTTTGGTCACCCAATCTCGTCCCTAGATTCGCATCAAACATTCGCGTTCGCAAACGCGGATCTACTTTGCAGTAATCGACAGCACCACCTACAATTGCAAAACAACTACACGCGGCATTACCTAGGTTAACTTCACAAATGTTAAGCATGTTTATGACAATATTGTGAAAGTCTTGGCTGTAGGTCAGGTCTAAATCCATGCCTTAGGGTTTTATAGTATTCATAAAGTGATTGAAGCAATACATAAATTATGGCTGTACATGAAGGCTATAACGCTGAAGCATCTGCATGATAAGAATGGTTTTCTTAGGAAAACAGAACCACCATGAGTGTTGTGTTTTGCTTCCTTCCATTCTTTAAATGTTACGGATGTTAAGTACCACTTCATGCCCAAATGAGACGAGAAGGTGAGGTGAGTTAATGTCATAAATGTCAAAATTCAGACAGCTTCACCGCTGTCACTTAGCAGGATCTTATCAGCGAGCCTCCAGCCACCAAAATGCATTCTAGCTCAAATACAATAGCTCCTTCTGGACCATAACCGTCGGCTGACAGACTAATGTTTATGAGTTAGGCAATTAATGTGTGAACTCGGAAAATAAAATGTAATGGTGGGCACTAGCTACATACTTAATTGTTACATTGTTTATTCATTGCATTTACTCAAATGGACCTCAATTTTTATGCACAAAACAAACAAGTTAAGGACTTTTTCAAAGGAAATAATTGAAAACTCTCACTCCGTAATCAGTGAGGAGACGAAAATCAACTGCCATAGCACCAACCTAGATAGAAGGATTGTGCTAAATTCGACGAAATTTGGTTGTCTAACAATTTCATCCTCTGTCCCTGAGAACCCATTACCATGTAAGATGCCTTGATTTGCTGCCAGTTTGCTTTTTAATCGAGGCAACGGTGAATGACTATTTGAAATTTTCACTCGTGAATTACATCCGTTGCCGCCATTTCAAGGTACTGGCCGGCCCCTCTCACACAGACTTCTGCTCTTCGCAGTTTGTGGTTCAGAAAGGCTTTTACTCTATTCCTTAGCATTCAGCCACGATGCGGACTTACAATTAGCAAGTTGAGTAACCGTGTTACAGGTCTAAAACGCCCCCGGTGCCATTCAAAACCTATTCCAAGACTTCGTAATATAATCATTCTCGTGTCACAGAAACAGCAAATGTAACTGGTTAAGTCATTCGTAGTGTGTCTAGACCGCCCATTTGCCTGCAAATGGTCAAAATGCAAAAGTTACCACACGTGGGTGACAGACACTGCTTCACGTCCAAGTTTGTCTAGCCATTTTAGGAGATTTTCATCAATTTGGTTCTATTTTTCTAACACGGATTTGTGAGAAGATGGATAGTTTGAACATCTCCTGATGTCGACTACAGTCCGCGACTTCAACTCATCTGGACTCTCACAACCGAATTAATAAGACTTCTCTTGGGATCGACCGTAGCCGAATCACATAAAAATTGGGTCCATTGTCAGATCGTGAACATCAACACCTGCGTCACAGTGTATTAAAAGAGACAGTAGCCTTTGCTCACTTTACAATGCTAAGGTTGCTCATTTTTTCTCGAAACGTATTCTAACTTTATGTGTACCATAACTGAACTAAGTTGTGTGGTATTCTGCGTGAGTTTGCGTGGTGCCATGAAATTTGCCAAGTAGTTGCAATGAAGCTATTGGCCCTCATAAATCGAACGCCCGAGCTAGCTTCTACTGCACAATAATTCGTATGTTGCAGAACCTGTATAGCAGTTACCATAGCGCACATTTGCCTGCTTGGCTGACTGCAAACCACAACTCAGATGTCCACTATACATAGACTGGCACAGCCTTCAGAATTGCCCCACCAGCTGATTGGTGGACAACCGTTAACTATTTGCTGCTAGCCCCCTCCCCCCAATACCTTAGGTCACCAACCTCCGATACCAGTGCCATAGTAGCAACACACAACGGCTTGTGCATGACTTGATATATGCCCCGTGTGCTTTTCACAAAGGTCAAACATTCCAACTTGGATTCTGAGTAGTTCAATGGCTAGTTGGCGAATGTTAACGTATTGCTCTGGTGAAATGCACATTATTCACGTCATGATTAAATATACATGTAAAACCTTGTCAAAGTGCACCAGAGTAATAGTTGAATTTACATTGTGTGAAACTTTTGCTCTTATTAAATTCCAGTAAAATGAGGCTGATCCAGGGAAAGCAGATGAACTTTTGACCTAATACTGAAATTTATTGCTGCGTTATTCGTTACTTCATAGTCTCGTATTATGAAATTAGGCTACCAGAAAATAAGCTCACTTCAAGACACATTCTGGTGCTGTTAAAAAAACACGAGCTTCCTCCTGGCTTATGTAACCTCATACTTATTTCTCTTTTTTTCCGTGTATAAACTGTGAAAATATGTGAAAAGGCATAGAAACCCTAGCAAAATTAAACAAATCGATGTAAATTTAACAGCGAAAAACCAGACAATAATTTTGTGGGTGGAGTTTGGGATTACGGGTAGGCAAAAGTCGGGCAGTCATGCCCACCAATCAACTGCTTCTTTGATTGGCGGAATGTAAAGAACAAATGAAAGTGAATATTTTAAATCCGAGTAAGACCACGAAGACTTGGGTTGGAAGTGTGGGCCTTCGCACATGGAAAAGGTGAACTAGTTGCCGAGGCAGGATGCATTGATGACAATATTCATAGATAAATTATAGAAAAAAGTTTACCCTAACATTTGTCGCATTTTTACGAATCCATGTTAAAATTACTAAATTACATGAAGCCTCGTCTTTGATTTTATTTATCGTCTAACAACCTAGTTAAGGGCTAAGTTCATCAAACGAATTCGGCAATAAAAAGGCAGTCAATATTAGATTACCGCCGGCGAGGCGGAACAACAGAATTCGTGACTGGTTGATGCTGTTCTACAAAATAGATAAGCTGTTCCCAAACATTTTGGAAGCACTGTAATTAAGTTTGGCTCTTACCAGCTTCGTCTACCACTCTAGACCAGACAAAATTTAAAGAAACCAAATATCCAAAAGAATACCTTTTTGGCTAAACATATCAACCTTTTGATTTGTACTCAGTGATTTTAGTGCAACGTAAAGTGCGGACATCGGTGCCAGCGTCCTTATGCTTTTTAAAAACATCTCAAGTCAAGTCGGTGTTGTTTGCACTTAAACTTGACGGGGAATCGGGCTCGGTGTTTGCATACCCTTACAAGCAATTGAAATACATATCTTGTTTTGAAAAGTGAGGAAGTGATCGCTTAGACCCGTTTTAAACTTCCATTTTGGGCACTAGCTTAGAGTTTATTCGCTTACTTTATCGTATAGCTAAAATCCTCTCTGATTGCATCGTTTTTGAAACTTGAAAATATGTAGAAATTCATGCTTAGTGAGTTACCGTAGAATAATATTGCTTATTTTACATCCGTCTTGCTTACACATTTATTTCTTATAGCTAGATTTTTTTTTCACTCTTATTAACTAAATGTACAACTCTATGACTTTTATACCCACGTGAAAGTCTATAGGGATTCTTTGCTTTTAATAGCAAAGTGGCAAAAATATAAGTGAAAGTCAATGGTGAAAATTTTTGATATTCTTGACAATCAAAACTGATTTCTAATCCGTTGAAATGTTTGTTTAAATTAGTGACAAAAAACTGGTTGTAATATTTGCATAATGTATTTGAGTACAATCTCCAACTACTTCGACATCACGTAACTTTCAAAATGTGCATGATATTTTTGGAAGCGAAAGTTTCTAAGTCGTTGCTGCAAGTTCCCACTTTCAAGTTGCCAATTTGCTGCAACATTAGACCTTACAAAAGCATGAGACTGGCTTGTACTCCACGAAAAACTGCTTCCATTTCTTTCTCCGGTAATTTACAGCACTCGATCGTGGAGATTTTACCTTGATCTTTAAACAGGTGTTTAGGGACTTCTTACTGACGAATTAATCAGTAGATAAAAATGTTTAGTAAGACGCTGAGGTTCAGGTGGAAATAAATTTGGAAGAGACTGGCAGTTTGCAATATACCGCCACTAAATTTATATATGTATCCGTCGGCATCGAACGCGGTTAATGTTTAGACATAATCACTGGAGCTGAAGTCACCGTCATGCGCTTTCTTTGTCACATACGTTATAAAAACAGTGGGGTTCACTAGTTCACCTCTTCAAGAAACCAATACTCAATTAGTAGCGCTTCGTTAATTTATTCACAAGACTTTCTTATCACATGTAAAACTTGAATTAATGAGTTTTTGGATCATATTTAGAAAATACAGCAAAATTTCTACTAAAGAATGGTAAATGCGTTTCTTATTAGTAACGTTAAATAAATGTATTGCGAGCTATAATAAAAAAATCCATATTCAGGTGGAGCTATTCGTCAAACGAAGTCGTTTTTTATCGGCAATGGTACTTGAGTAAAAAAAAATTCACTGAGTGACTTCTATACTAACTAGTGGTGCAAAGAACCGTCTTACACGATGCAATTTCTTGCAACTTTTATGAAGTTACAATTTTTGATGTTAAATTGCAATGATTTATTTCTCTTAATTTAGACGGATGTATTTCGGACAAATGGTGAGACTTATAATTAGCAATTTTTTTCATTAACTGTCTAATCGCTTACAACTGCATTGACACGGAAATCGAGCATTGCCACGCACTCAACTTGCAGTTATGAAATTGCTACAATGAGAAAAATCGATAGGATTGCATTGTTGAGTTACTTTATTTAGTTTCCGTG